GGTGCTCGGTTGGTAAACCTTCTTCTTTATAAAACTATTTATAAATTTTTATATTTTAAGTATTTATTATTTTATTTAATTCTTAATTTTTTTAAGTATTTATTTTTTATATAATTCTCAACTTCTAAATTTTATTTTTTATTCATTTAAAGAAAAAAAATTTTTTTTACAACTTTTTCTATATTAAATCCATCTAATAACCTTTCTTATATTAATTTTTTTACTAAATATAATAAAATTTTATTCAAATTTTATTATAAAATTTCATAACTTTCCTTACAATATTATTTTAAACTAATTTCTTAATAAAAACTTTTTAATGAAGCAACAATCTCACCAAACAATTACGTACTCTTGCCATTGTAAAGTCCGCATAACGTCCAGTGGGGCTAGCTTGAGTATTAGCCTATCCAAAGAATTGTTAGATTAAAGAGGAAATTAATTTTGACTTGAATAATTTCATATACATTTAAATTTAAATAGTAATAAATACTATTTTCTAAAATATATTAGAAAATTAATTACTTTATATTATAAAAATTTAAATCTCTTACCTTAATTCTAAATTATAATTTCATTTCATATACATAATAAATGCTATTGTTAACATTCCCTATACATATGCAACTTTAGGGGTATTATTTTAATAAACATCCAAAAATATAAATTGAAAAGACATGGTTATTCATTGAAGGGACTACTCATATATAATTTCGAGTGTAATTGATGATATATGTATATTTATACAAATTGATGATATCTCAGTAAATTATCCTTGTGCAGATATGAAATTGTCAATTCTTTTGAGGATGATTTACGAAAGACAGCTAAAATAAAGGTAACTAGTTTAATCCATGGTTTTGATCATATGCGTACATAATGCGTGCATGGATTAGAAGGTTGATGACATGCATTAAAGTAAATAATTAAAGAAAAAAAAAAACGGAAATGGAAAAAAAAAGTTTTTGCATGACTTGTCTTGTCATTAACTTGCGTGCATCGTGGATGTAATTAAGAAATGACAAGATGGCATACAATGACATCCAACAATACGTTCCTTCTGTGCAGGTATTGAGGAGACATGGGCGGTCCATGTTAGTACCATTCCGTGTGGCTGAGGCAACTGTAGATTCAGAAGAAAACAACGCTGTTGAAGACATAGTTGAGATGGATTATGCACAACCACATAAGAAGCCACCAATTCATAATGAAAAACCCTAGATCTAATCAATCTTATTCCTAAAAAAAAATAGTTTTTGCATTCCTTTTTTTGGTATAAAATGTTGTATAATTAAGGAGCCCAAATCTGCGACTATTTTGACCATCTGTAAACTGCTATCTACATTATACAGTCAACAATAAAAATATACAGTATATTATTATAAGAGATGTGAGTTGATGTTGAATGGAGAATGGCTTGTTCTATTGTTTTTGGATTTATGTTTCGAGTATTAATGATGTTGTCAAGAAAAGGAGACACAGACGATAAGATCAATATATCGTGTGTTGGAACTTGGAAGAGTTGATGATGTTGTCCAAAAATGAGAAAGACAGGTGCATCATGCATGACAGTTTCTTTAATTATTTCAGTTGAATGTTGAAGTGCTGTTACAATCCTCTTAACAATTGATTGGACGAAGAATTTTCTCTTTCCTTTCATTTGTTTTATGTCAATTGAATTTTTACAATAATTTAGCATATTAACCTTTTCTTTTCTTTTTTTTTTAATTTCTCCGCTCCCAAGCTAACTTTAACTCATTTCAAAATTAATCTAAAAAAAAAAATTTAAAAATATATCTTTTACATCAATTTAATATATTTAAGAAACTAATTTTAAAAATTTTAAATTTAATTTACAAAAGAATACTTAATTCAATATTAATGTCTTTGTTGATGAACAAAATAGCCTAAAGGTTTAATATAATAGAGAGAAGGTAAGAGGATGAAGTAGTTCTGTCTTCTTACCTTGTACCTTAAATAGCAGGATAATGTATTATTATTATTATTATTATTATTATTATTATTATTATTATTATTATTTAAACAAAGTGTCTTGGGTGGGAATTTGAATTTCAAACCCACCAGAAAAAAAAAACTGCACTTTCAAGATGACTCGAAAGTCACTTGTCCTGAAGGACCATGTGCTGCAGGATAATATATTATTGATTGCAAAAGAGAGAAGAAGTTTATTAGTTTTAGAAGGGTGTCCTTCGGCTGTTATATTATTACCATGCCATTGAAGACAAGAAATAAAAGTGAAAAAAGGACATAAATGTCGGTAAGCCTGCCTCTTGAGGACAATCGAACGCAATCAGAAATCTGGCTGTGAACTGGAACCCACTCTGAAACTGCAAAACAATTATCACAAGACAATTGAAACAATTTGACGCCTCTGCATAGCCCTTGCGCAGCCAATAATAAGGGTACTGCCTGCTCAGAGCTAACCAAATAATTGGTGGGATTCATGCCAACGCATTAACATGGTTAGTTAAAATGCACAGACAACAATATCAAGAAAAGAAGAAGAAAATGATCAACATGAGATCACTAGAAGATCAAAGAATTTATCCATCTCAAATCAACGGTGCTGGAATAACTAACAATGCAACTACCTATGGAGACGTGAAGTACGGTTATCAAATGGCTTCAGATTTATATGCCGCAAAGAAAAGGCATTACTGAAATTCTCTACTAGGCAGCCCTCAGTAGGAACGTCCGTTTACTTTTAGATTATGGATTCATTTGGATAATCAGGTACCGCTGCAGCTGACAATGAATGGTTTCACAAAGTTGATAAATTCAGAGGTCTTGATCCCAAGCTTCAGATCAACCTCCCCACCACCCAGCCAGAAGAAATCAGGGTTAAGCTTTACAATTGCTTCATCCAGAATCACCTGAAATCAATTTGTATAGGATCAGTTACTCAGAATAAAAAGACAAACTTAACTGTCCCCTCCCTGCCCAGGCCTCAGAGTCTTTATACATGTGACAGTTATAATCACATGCTCATCCAGATGCGCTTGCTTATGCCATAAAAAAAATTTCGCTCTTTCAACATTTTTCTTGACAACTATATTCGCAGAATGACCATTTAGAATCAGTAGAATGTACAATGCAATCTTGATTCTCAGATCTTGTCATAAATTATTATTATCTAGGACAGAGAAGAATTTTCCCCTTCTTCATCAATCCATATTTTCAGCAACCTCTTTTACACTCTCCCTCATGCCATTAACCAAATGCAAATTTAGACGTGCATGGACAGAAGGAAAAATAGAGACAGCATTTCACTTCCAAAGCTCAATTCACAACCACACTCTTGTCAATGCAGCAGACTGACAGGAAATTATTGAGCTAGCATTATGGAGAGGGGGCCAACTCATAAGCTGGCAATGGCATGAAGACATTGCAATTCATGCAGGACAAAAAAAAAAAAGAAATAAATAAAAGTCCCTGTATTGGGTATCCTGACTATAAAAACTACGCCTACAAAAATAAAAAGACTATGAAAACTACATTTTTTTTTTTTTCTGGGTGACCGCACAATATGAGATATCATGTTGAGAGGCAAAAGCCTACTTATAGCCCCTCACCTTATCAAATTTGAAGGTTTTAGCCCCTCACCTTATACTATGATACTTTTAGCCCTTCACCTTCCTAGATTTGTAGGTTTTAGCTTATCACCTTATACTATGACACTTTTAGCCCCTCACCTATTAAAATTGAAGAAAATAGCCCTCCCTTTGTAATATTTTGTTAGTTCTGTTAGTTGACTGTTAACTTTATTAGCTGACTATTATAGTTGATTGTTAGTTGACAAAAACATTTTTTTAACTAACAGAGTTAACAGAATTAATTTTATAATATTTCGTTTATTCTGTTAACTAACTATTAGTTGATTGTTAGTTGATAAAAATTTATTTTCAGCTAACAAAGTTAATAGTCAAATATAAAGTGAGAGTTATTTTCTTTGATTTTAATAGGTGAGGGGCTAAAACTTATAAATCTAGTAAGGTGAGGGGTTAAAAGTGTTATAATATAAGGTGAGGGGCTAAAACCTTCAAACTTAGTAAGGTGAGGGGTTAAAAGTAGGTTTTGCCCCATCTTCAGAAAAGAAACCTTTGGCAGTTGGGACAAGCATGATAGGGATGGATATCTGCATAGACTGCATGGTATTAAACCTCAGGACCGCATGTACTCATCCTAATGAGAAAAACACAGACATTGAAATGGTATTGTCTAAAAGAGAAGCACCCAAAACACATTTGCTATAACTACCTTGTATAGGCCTTTTGGAAGTTCAGAAGAGAAAATGGGCCAACAAACTTAGATCAATGTTTCACCATTGTTCTCTTTGTTTAATTATTTTTAAATTATGAAGTAACAATCAGTCCTATATTCACATTAAGCTACATTGCATTTACACATCTAAAGATGGAGCTCATGGAAACATGAACAAATATGAGAATTTTTTGCCCGTAGTGTTACAAGAACGAAGT